CCGGTGAGGTTGTTTTCCCACAATGCACAGCGAAACAGCCACGTAAACGTAAACCATCGTAGCATCAGCGCTGCCTGCGGCTTGCCTAGCTGCCTCAGCTTCTTGTATAGCTACACCTTCCAGATGTGCAGATGATGATGCAGGACGCATTTCCCAGGTATTATATTATTGCTCTGGGTTGCGGATGTGCTAACTAACTAGCTGTTAATCGCCGCGCTGATTAAACTAAGGTTGAAGTTCAATGCTGTTAGTGAACACGCTAATAGTTAGCTGCTAACCTTTGCTAGCTGGTTAAACTGTCCTGTAGATTGTAAAGTCTTGTTTCCACACAAGATAAATTGATCGTTAACACCACCGGCAAACGTTAAAAGCAACGTGTAACGTCAGGTAATCTACCAGTTTATTGTTCGCACATGTAAACATAGCCAACCATTAGCTAATGAAACACTGCTCTTAAAGTTGGGATTAAAGTAGCCGAAAGGTGAGACAGTTTGTCTCCGCAATCTAGTGTCGCTGCCTATTTTTTTTTTTAGTTAATCCAGGATTTAACGTTGTACTCGCGCCTTTTATTTGAGTTGTCTTGAAGTTCTGAGTTGTTTCGCTTTTTTCTCTGGGTGCAGTGAAAGCACCTAAAGCCTCAAATCGACTCCTCATAACCTTCATTCAGTCCGTGGAGCTGTCCATGGTTCTCACATGATGTTTATTGATTACAGAAAATTTACGTGAAGGCCATAGTTGAGTAGAAGAAACCTTTAGTAATCTGCAAGTTAAAAGTGAAACATCCAACAACACCACAGATACAGGCCATTTAAAAACTTTGTGTGCAACAACAGAAAATAAAACAAGAGTATTCAAATAGTTTAAAAATTGCCTCCAACTCATTCATGATTTTAGTTGTTTGACAGGAAATTAGAAATTTTGCCTTGTCTCACATTGGTCCTTACCAGTTCTATATTAATTTAAAATTTAATCCGCATCTAGGTTGAGCCCACTTATGGTAAAATTTCATGCAACCTTTTTGAGTAAGTTTCCTAACAAGCAGACAAACTTGACCAATTACAGTGGAGTGAATTAAATGAGTGCACTTTCAAGCAGTACCGTAGATAGAGGAAGAAAAATGTGCCTTTTGTTTAGAAAGCCAGTGACTAATGAGACAACATTTCACCAGTCTAGTGGTTTTAGTCTTTCTACAGGGTGCTGAATGTGCATCCAGATAGGAGAAAGTGAAATTCCCAGTAAAGGCTCACCTCAGTTTCCAGTGAGACATCAGAAAGGCAGCCAAGCTCAGTCAGATTTCTGCCAACAATCTTCGTCCATAGTTTGACTTTCTCCATGGTTTGTTTTTGTTAATCAAGGTAAAGTAACAAAACTGGCAGATGTATTGCAAAGGAGATGAAAATGTATAATTAACCATTTCCTAAATCTTCAGTGCTGGTGCAAGATCACCAAAGGCCCCAAAATCAATTAGAATACGCTCAAAATGAGATTTTTACTAAGTAACTTAACACGTAATGAAACTTGCTTTATGCTTTTAGCAAGTCATGTTTGGTAGTGATTGAATTTGGTAACAAACGGACTGCAAACGAATAAACATTTCATCTTGAGGCGCTGCTTTAATTTTGAAAAAATGTCTGTTTATAATCTTCCGTATGTTGTATTTTGACATTTTTTGGCATCCCCCCCCTGGAAGTACTCACACTCTCCCTCTATGCTGCTTTTGTATTACTCACAAGTAGATGGCTGCTTTAAAATATTTATTATATAGTATATCTCCACGGACGACACTTGGCGTTGATATTGTTTCTAAGTGCTGTGATAAAAGCATATAGAAGATATTCCCCGTTTTGTTTGTCTTTTCATCCGACCTTGGTCTGGTTTTGAAGGTAGTTCTTAGTTGTGGTACCTGACACTTCGCTGATTCTGCTCACGTCACGGATCCTGTGGACTTGTCAGTCAAGGAGGAAGGAAATTGACCGGAATTCAAATCGCATGCAGGAGGACAAACGTGGAAAGTGTCCCACTAACGCACATTCTCAGCTTCTCAGTAGATACCAGTGATCGGAGATTTTGAATGCTAAAAAAATTAGTTAGTTAAAAAAAAAAAAAAATCTATATAAATAACTAATTGCACTGTTGTAGCTTGAATACTAAAACAAACTGTTAAATATTTCATGTTCGGATAGATGAGTGTGCAGACATTATCCATTAAGCAGTCAAGTGAGGTTAGAGGTCACCACAGTAATCTATATTATCCTGAGAGGAAAACAGTCAGTATCTGAGTGCTCGGTGTGTTCATCTCAGTTTGTTATTAAACCTCCCAAAACATTGTACATTTACAAAAACCTGATATTTGAGAATTTAATAAGGAACTGATTTTTTTCTGCCCTTTGTAGAGTGATAAATGGAAAGCAATGCTGTGACCAAAGACTGAGTTGCAACTTAATATAATTTTTATTGTTTTTTTACTGAAGTATTAGTCATTTAGTCTAAATTGTCATGAAATCTATAAAGCTTTGTCAACACATCAAAATCCCAAGTTCAATGATGAAAAAGCAGAGCATTTCCTTGCTGCACTCACAGATCTGTGCCATCTCCCTCGTTTGCAGGCCTTCAGCGAGACTGCCAGAGCTGTAAGATGTCGATGGTGTTGTTTGCCTCTGTGGTCCGAGTCGGGGACGGCCTGCCTCTCTCAGCATCCACTGATTATGAGCAGGACAAAGAGCTTCAGGAAACAAAGAGGCTCCTCAAAGGTCTCTCCAAGAAACTCGGCCAGTTTCCTGACCGCTGCACACTTAGGACTGGACCATACAACATCAAGTAGGTCTTTACTCTTAGCAAAATATCCAGTTATTCTGCTCTGTTAAATGTTAAATAACTTTTGGTATTAACACGTTTCAAATGGGCCGTTTGGTGTAAAAAAAGGTCTGTTTGGCTTGAGTAAAGATAATATCAGTTTAAAGGTGTAGGGTTAGTTTTTCCTTTGATTTTGACTAAAACCTCTTTTGGACAAGGGCCGAATTATTCGCGCATTTTTAAGCGTCTGCATTCACTCAGTGTATCTTCAATTCCCGGTATAAAACCAAAATCTAGACAATGCATTTTTAATGACCCATGGGTGGTGAAATAGCCTGCTGTTGACAGTTTTACTGCTTTCTTTCTGACCCCTCTAACACACATGTGGTTAAAGAAAATACAGAAAAAGCGTTTAAATTTGAGCGATTTGACAGCTCGGGCTTCATTTGAGGTGTCAGACGGTTCCTGAAAGCTCTGCTTGTGCTTAGGGAATGGCTTTGAAACTCTCAAGCATTGTTTGTTAAAAGCTAATTAGTCTTATTACGACAGAGGACATGACCTTAGAGAACCTCACCGCCAACCATCAATGGGCCAGCTATACCTTTCAACAACCACAGAGTCTCCTTTTGATACGTCTCTTTAATCAGCGAGAGCTCGAAGCTTCTGAGGAGTGCGGACGTCTAAAGGCTGCTGAAGTTCAAAATGAAAGAGGCGGCGTTTAAAGTCACCGGTTAATCTGTCCTGTGATATTCCCGGTTCTTCAGTGGCCCTTGTCATGTCTGTAATATTTGTGTGTTGTGAAAGCTAGATGAAATTCCTTTTTCAGCAGATTTAATCCAGGAGGTTTTAGAACATCGGCTCGCTTGCTTAATGCCCCAAGTTTTACACAGTGATTTAGAGAATGCACATCACTGGAAGCAATTTAGGGACTATAATATTTGAACATACTCGCACTGTAAGTCACAGTTATGAATCATCAGTTATATCGTGGGATTTAATCCAGTTTTATTTTAGCTGTTACCCACAGTGGAGTTATGATTTATTTTCTAATATTCGGTGAGGTTTTATAGGCACAGTCAGGCAGCTCCGAGACAGATATTGGTAAACATATTTGTCCAGGGGTTTATTGTAAAGCACATTGCAACTTACAGGTTCAATTCAGTGTTTATTATATATGCACCAGCAGCTTGTGAAACTAAAGGGCACAATAAAAATGAATCCATCAATTCAAATTGTGGGTAAGGGGCCCGCCTCCATCCCACCCTTAAACGTGAGTCATTTGCTTCAATTTCTGATGCGTATGTATGTGGCTACTCAGATCAGATTGACTCTCATTCCTCAGATATCGTCAACACCGCGAGTTTTTCTTTCCATGATAATCATCATATTAGTCTCAACTCTTTATTGACGTTCAGGTTTCATATCCATTCAGATGCGCTCCGAGCTATTCTGGTAATGTGAACGTCTTTGTGTTTGGGGAATTTAATTTGCACTTAGTGTATCAATTAACACTGCAAGGCCAGCACATAGTTGTTTCTGCAGAGGTGGATTTGGATGCGAGCCATTGTGTTAAATTAACTGTGAAAGTGTGGCGTTGAAGCAGAGATGCGCTTAAATTGTGTTTGCTCTGTGTTTAGAGCTGCAACCTGCAGAAGTCAGAAATGCCTGTGTGTCCCTGGATATAGCTTTGTGTCCTAATTACAGATTCCCAGGGTTTCTGTCGAGAGGAAGAGTGGCGCGCTGCATTAGAGCAATAATATTTGTGTTTGTGTGTTTCAGTTTTACGAGCTCGCTGGGCGTTGGATACCTGATGGTATGCACTGCAAGTTATCCCAATGTTTTGGCCTTCTGCTTCCTGGATGAGCTACAGAAGGAGTTTATTGTCACCTATGACACCAAACGGATCGAGAGTGCCATGCGGCCCTACTCCTTCATCGAATTTGGTGAGTCCGTGGAACTGTGCGTTTCAGCCGAAACGACCACGTGGGAAATATGATGTCAGCTTTTCAAATTAAAACGAGTGCCATGTCTGATGGTACCTATCAGGTGTAAAATTGGCCTGATTCTTTACAATATTCAGTTTTTAAAGTTTCTCCTGGGTAGTCCACAAATTTTACAATACGGGGTCACAGTCAGTAAATTTCAGATACAAAAAAGAGAGTTTGATGGCCTGGGACTAGTCAAAAAGTATTTTATGCTAGTTGATTGGATAGTTAACCTACCAAACCTACTTATGACTTCACCTGCGAAACAAAAGCACTACATCAGTCATCATTACCTAAAAGGTTTTTTCCTTGCTGTCGTTTTAAAGAGGCTTTTGAGGACGGGCCTCCCATATTACTCCCAATTACAACAACGAAAACCAATCTCACCAAAATGAAATGAGCTCGAGCTGTTATTGGTGTCAACCATCAAACAAAATTTAGAAAAATTTGGGGGCGATCGTGGCTCAAGAGTTGGGCGTTTGCCTTGTAATCGGAAGGTTGCCGGTTCGAGCCCCCGGCTTGAACAGTCTCGGTCGTTGTGTCCTTGGGTAAGACACTTCACCCGTTGCCTACTGGTGGTGGTCAGAGGGCCCGGTGGTGCCAGTGTTCGGCAGCCTCGCCTCTGTCAGTGCGCCCCAGGGTGGCTGTGGCTACAATGTAGCTGCCATCACCAGTGTGTGACTGTGTGTGTGAATGGGTGGATGACTGGATATGTAAAGCTATACAAATACAGGCCATTTACAGGCCAAACAAAATTTGAAAATGATCATTTAAAAAACTTGGATGCGAGACAACTAACAAATAGACAAACAAACAAAACTGATTACATAGTGAGTCTACAGGGCAGCATGGAGCCTACTCAACTAGATTTATTTCAGAGCTTTGGTAACAGTACTTTACAGATGTAAATAAACATAAAGACATGAATAAACAATTTTAAATATAATTAATATTAGGTTTACATATAAAACATTGTTTTTGTGGACAGTAAAACTGAGACACTGGCCCAGCGTATGAAATAGCATTTTTGTTATGTAATATGTGATATGCAGTGTTTCTGTCTATCGTTGATCGAAAATGTTTTTGTTTATTCAGAAATCATTTTCCACTTCCACATTAACAGCATCTTGCTGTGTCACACAAAGGGTGCATTTGGTTCTGCCCGGCTTTGCTCTTTGTATTATTAATCAGCTCTTTGTTGTGCTGACTGTTATCCCTCAGACACCTTCATCCAGAAGACCAAACAGCGCTACAATAACCCTCGTTCCCTGTCCACCAAGATCAACCTGGCTGACATGCAGACAGAGATCAAGCTGCGACCGCCCTACCAGCTCTCCCCTGAGGACCTGCGGGCTATCAATGGATTCTCAGTGCACGCACCTTCAAAGTACAAGGGCATAGGTAGGACATAAGCTGCACACGTATGCGTGCAAAGTATGAGAGAGGCTTGTAATGAATTTATATACGTACAGCATTTAAAGATGCATTTATTCATGTGCATAAATATATATACAGGGTGTGCATGCACATTAAATTTAGATATTTAATCTTATTATTTGTATAAATTTTTCATTCTTAACATTGATGGTATTGACCACAAGACTGTGACATGATGTACATAGTTGCTTTTCCCTCAAAATGTTCCTGGAGAAGGAAAACAGGAAGTGCTACATGGCTTTAAAGACTTTTAAAGCAGACTCTGATGAAGACTTCAAGTTTATATGCGTTGCTCTGTTTTGCTTGCTCATTTCAACCTAAACAAAATGCCTCAGGAAGCATCTGTTTTTTTTATCCTTTATCGAGGTTTTTTGGACAAATCAGAAACATTAACTCCAGAGTTCAGAGCTTTCAGCAAGTTTTACACCCCTGCCATGGACGCACGTTTTTCTGTGATAAACACATTTCCCTGGACCCAGGGCCTCTCCACAGGATCCTAGTCCCTTTTGCTTTTTGAGCTGTTTGTTCACGCCTCTTTTGCTTTTATTAAAATGTATTAATATGCAGTTCAGAACCAAAATGATTCCTCATCGCCGTATTTTCCTGTATCTTCAGTGGATTAACAAAGACATTTCTTAATTACAAAATCTCATTTAAGCCCTAAATATTGAAATATTTATTGAAAGAAAAAAACAAAACATCCGCAGCAGAAGTCATTCAGCTGCTTAAATTTGAAATGGTTACTTTCTGGTGGATTATAAAGGGCAGAGAGAGACTGTGTGATGAGATATTCATTTTCAAAATGAATCCATTCCGCTGTTGCTTCGTCGTAGCTCAGACCCCGTGCTCTTTACATCGTCCACAAAAACAACCCCTTTTCCCCACTGTCACACCTCAGTTGCCCCAAGCTAAGCGATGCCACCTCGGGTCACTTGTAGCTGTTGTGTTTCCCCCTGACATCCGAGAGAGCAGCTCTCCACGCTCTGCTCACTCTCCGCGGACCTTCCTAGTGTCTTGTTTTTCTGAGAACATAAATCATTTTATCCTGAGGGATGAAGTATGCTAATCTGATAATAGTGACACATTAATTCTTTTACTCTGCAAGTGAAAGTGAGATTTGAGAACAGCACATTCTTGGCTTATCTTTGCCATTCAGGGATTTATTCCCTTTGTCCTGCACATAATAGCTTTTATATGTGTATATATATATATATATATATATATATATATATATAAATGAAATTTTGTCAAATCTAGTTGCTTTGTTGTTCTTCGGAAAGCAGATTTATCCGAGACCTGCGTCCTTGTTCTCTTGCAGCTCCCACGCAGATGCTGGAGCCGGTGACTCTCCCGGGAATCGTATCCTGTGTGCTGAGCATCCTCTGTGGGGGGCTGAACCTGCTGCGAGGGGTCCACGCTATAGAGAGCATACTGCAGGTGAGGGCATTCTAGAAACGACTCTCAGATTCAGTTTCTCTTAAAGGGAAATGAATGCTCAATGCAAGGCTGGTTCTAGTTTGATACTTTTAGCTGTCAGTTTTATTTGTAGCAAGAAACTTAGAGGACGAATGAATTCCCGAGGGCTGGGAATGTAGGTCCGTCACAGAAAAGCAATCAGGTAGTCAGGAAACGCAGACTTTAAAGGTGGTGGGATTTATTCTAAAGAGAAAATGATGGCAAAGACTTCACTGTAAACATTCATCCCAGTTTACTAATTATCTGCCTGGCTCAACTTTGACGTCATGAGCCACTAATATCTCCTGACTAACATAAACTTATGACTGATTATGGTCTGTCTGGGCTCACGTCACTACCACATGCCTGCCATTGTGTCCCTTGATAGAGCACCTGTCACATCACACTCTATGAACTAGATTAGATCACAGTACATGAAATGCATGAATAAAGATACCTCAACATGTTCTTGTCATATTGGTTTCTTTTTTTGTCCCTACATAAATGACTAGCGCTTCAAAAAACAACAAAAAAAACCCAAGCATTTTCTCTGTGTCTGCAGAATGATGATGAAGACTTTAATTACGTGATTGCCTTCTTCCTCGGCACAGCGGCCTGTCTGTATCAGGTAAGTGATAGTCTGCGGTAAGGGGAGCCCATCACTGGCTGACTAACAGCCCTGCACTTTATAGCTCAGCAGCTTGTCAGCTACACATTAGCAAAAGCTCAGTGCCTTTCGGTCCAGTACCTTCTCTAAAAGATTTTGCTCAGCTTTTTTTCTGCAGCTCCTGATACTAAATGGATCACCGCAGACTGGTAGACACAGTGATGGGTACAGAGACATCAAATGGGATTTCTTATGAAAAACATCCCCGCCGGTCATGTGGTCTGCGCATCGTTCACGCTCTCTGTCTTTCTCCTTTCAGTGCTACCTGTTTGCCTACTTCTCAGTCTGGAGGAACAGCAAGTCCTTCCTGGCCTTTGCACTCATCTGTCTTTCCAACATGTATTTGTACGAATTGAGGAACATCTGGCAGATCCTCTTTCACGTGGCGGTGGGCGCCTTCATGACCCTGCAGATCAGACTGAGGCAACCGCTCGGCAAAGCACCGGACTACAATGTCTGACAAAAAAAGATCTGAAACTCAAAGGATAAATGGACCTGTAGTCTGAAAATACTGGAAACAAAATAGAGACAAAAAACAAAAAACCAAGCATCTCGATTCAGTGAGAAAAGCCAAAAGCGATCTCGCAGCAGCGCGGTAGCCCTGTTCAATAAACCCCAGCAGCTGTGAACAGATCTCAGTTTGGACTCTGCTGCAGCTTGAATCATTTATGGACCTTACTGGGAAGCCACTGCCCGATAACAATTTTCCACTTCCTTTCAGTGCATCCATCCCACCTGCAGGACGGATGCAGTTTTGCTCCCTCTGCAAGCACCAAGTATTGAAAGCGACGCCACTCGCTGCCAAATGCATCGGCTAAACAATCACATGAACTTCAGTTACTTGTTCAGTTATTTTTCATCTTCTATGTAAACCCACTGGTTCTCCATCAGATGCACGACTGGTTTCAGTCATGGTTTAAAACTATGCAACGCTGCCTTCTGCACGTGTGTGTCCTCGTATCTTATTTCGTAAGTGTTTGTCATCGTTTAGACCATTCTGCGTATTTATTTACAGACTGATTTCTCTGACGAAGAATTCTCCAGATTTTATGAATTTTGCTTGGCGATCGCTCCACTTTTATGTACACTTGTGTCTTTTTTTAGTCACAAAGTAGCTCCTGTTTCAGCCGACGCAAACAGGCTGTTTGCATTCGTACCCTACTTCCTCGCCTACATAGCCTCAAGCATATGCCAGTGTCAAGTGACTGTGTTAATAAACAGGTCTGTGTTGGCAGCGGTATAGATGCATAGCTGCGTTGTCAAAGCCAGAGGCGGCCTGTATCATCTGAACAGCCTCTGGCCTGTTTTTTTTATTTTCCCCTCCCACCGAGCCCCTCAGTTCAGACTTGGCTGCCATTTCTAAAAACAAAAACAAGAAGGAAAAAAACAAAAAATCATCTTTCACATTTAGCCTGTATCAAGGATATTGGCAGTGTTCACATTTAACACGATTATGACACAAAGATGCCATATTTATCGTCATCGGGGATTTATGGAGTGATTTCCCGGCGTTCCTGCATCATCCCAACAACTAACAGCAAACAAAACGAGAAGGGGAGAGAATTGAGTTGTGTTTTTCTTTTTTCTCTCCATGAGCAGCTTCAGTCGTGCCAAGGCTGTCATGACGTTTTTCTTTTTTAATTTACATTTTTTATTTATTTTGGATGATCCCTGTCTCACAGGAAGAAGTGAAAAATGAATCAGAGCATAGACGCGTACGCAGCTTTGCTTTCACGTCCATCTGGCATCTGCACTATTGTTCTGTCCAGAGACTGCTGTAACACTTCATTCTCGTGTGATTCATCATCTGAATGTTCTCTGCTGTCCAGCATCGGGTGCCACACCTACATGACCTAATAGCTCCTTTTTTTTTTTTTTACCCTACGGCTCAGACTTGATTGGAACTGAAATGTGATTCGCAAACTTCTAGATTGTTCAAATGTTTTCCACAGCAGTTACAGTAAACGTGTTGTGTGGGTGTGTGCTGTAAAATAGGAAACTTGAAAGTCAAAGATTTAAGTAATCCAAGTGTGGAACATGAATGTGATCATTTACAGGTCTTTAAATGGAATTTGCTAATCTAAACTTTGAATTTATTTGACACTAGAGACCTGTTATGATTAGAATACAAAATCTTGTTAAATGTTAAAGTTATGAAATGTGGAAAACATTGATTTGATTTGATGGGGTAAATGTGTTGGAACGCTAGTTTTAAGCCAGTCGTAGTAGCTCCATATTGGCCATTTTTGTGTGTGTTGCACGTGCACATCATGATGTGATCTGGTCCTCAATTTGAAACGTGAGCAAAGCTGTGGAACACCGAACATTAAAAAACATTTCCATTACAATGATATCTTTTTTTTATCATAGCACTGTCAGTTTCATACCAAATTCAGGGATATCTGGTACATGTTGCAGTAATTGTGAAGACAAAAATCACTTTTGTTTTAAAACAAAAAAGCAGGGATGCTTCTCCTGAGCAGGAAGTGCTCCCATTTTCACAGATATGTGCTGCCTGACCTGCACAAATTTGAACTTGAATGTCAGCGTGGTGACGATGTGATTGTAGCAACGCTCACATAGTTAGAGGCCAACAGGTTGGCTGTTCAGAAAGGTCACATTCATTAAGTCTGGAGATTTTGTTTGCACTAACATGGGTTTGAATTCCCGGAGAAAAGCAGAGGAAACACTGTTGTTCCTGCAGCTGCTGCATTACAGTCGACGACGATTCTTATTTTATCCGAGCGAGCTCAGTTTAAATTGGGAGGCTTCAGTTTTGATTACAGTCTGGCACTGCTATGTAAATGCACAGCAGGAGTGACCAAGATCTTAACTGATTCCTGTTGGAGATAATAGCCACTGATTTGACTTATAAATACAGATATTAATACCGTGACGGATAATGTAACGGGCAGAGCGTTAATCAGGAGATTAGCATTTTTCCTCCTTGTCCTCCGTCATATAAACAATAATCAGTAATAACAAAAAAGAAGACAAAGGACCTCATGCGTAAAGCCTGTCATGCAGTGCTCCTGCCATCTGTTGGTGAGCTACGTGAACATGTAAAATGACTCCCAGGATAGAGTGCAGTTAAAACAGAGGAGACACCTGAGCTTTCCACACATTTAAACAAACCTTTTGTTTATAGATTTTGGCTTTGTGCTGCTGAAAGAGGAAAAAGTCTTCCTCAGCCTGTGATATTTTAGACAATGCACCTTTCCAAGCTACAGCGTGTCCACATACATTTGGTCACTTTTGTTTCTTATTTAAGTCCGTAGCTTTGGTATTGTGTGCCAAAACGACAGCTTGCACAAAGTAAACACCAGCATCAATCTAGATCCATAAGAGACCTGACAGCACAGCAGAACATGAACAAGAATCAGATCTCAGGGTACCTGTGAAACCTCTCAGCAGTTTATTTTACTATAAAAAAAAACAGCATAATGTTTAGCATGGCAACAAAAACAATCCACAGTTTTGTCTCTGAAGCCATTTGTGTCACAGACACGGCCACCTCGTGTCAAATAAAAAGCGAATGAGAATGCTGTACTTTGTAAAGATGGATCCACTCAGGTACCTTGTAGTCACACCCCTCATCTCTGGTCTGTGCCTCTCCAAGCCCCTCGTGTTCCCTAATGGCACATTCATGCACAGTGAACAGTAGAAAGAGGGGGGTGACGTGGGTGTAGAATGGCAGTGCATCCAATTGGAATCATATGGAATGACACCTATAGGTATTAGCCGGGGTGTGTGAAGATAATGGTTGCAGCAGTACAGTACATTAACAAAGATTTAAAAAAAAAAAAAAAAAACGCCAGAGAAGACCAGTGCAGGTTTTTCCCCTTCATTCCACAGGCTCAGAATCATAGTGCCATTTACTCTTTAAAAAGGAATGAAATTCAAAGGATAAGGCTAGTGCTAATATTTTTGGGTCAACAAAGTCCCATGAAACGACCAAATTTCCAGTGGACTAAATTCTGATGTTGTTCAAAAGCAACGATTAGTGAGGCAATTATTCCATATAATCATCATGGGCACTTACTGAGCGCGTCAAGTCTGAATTAACCCTCACGTCATACTTTAAAATAAATTAATAGAGTGAAACAAGTCTAACTTGTTAATAAATTGTTTCATTTGCATGTGTTAGTCAATACATACTGAAAGATTAAATATTAGTCCTAAGTAACTGATTCTCTCCTCTTTAAACAATATTTTTAAAAATCTTTTAAGTTGGACTATTCCTGGGACTGCCAACAATATCTGACTCCCGCTTAAACATTTATAGTTTCCGTAAACTGAAAATCCGCCCACTGAGTGGTAGAAGAGCTCTGATTGGCCGGAATTTGACAACACATTTCTGTGAGTTTAAATAATCTTTTCAAGTTCAACTATCAATTTATTAATATTTTTTTAATGGAAAGTGTCCAAATTAATTATTTTCTGACAGCAGTTTAAAATTAATACATTTATTAACCTCCTAGGAGCTGGCGTCCACATATGTGGACATCACATTTTGGGTTACTTAGACCAAAATACTGAATTTTGGGCCTGATATCCACTTACGAGGACATTACACTGTCACTGTTCTATCAAAATTTTAAATGAATATCCTCCTATGTGGCTCTCATTTTTCTTAAAAACAAAAATAAGGCAAAAAAAAAAATGTAAAAAATTAAAGTAATTCTTTGTTTTTACATCCATCGGGCCCCAATATGTCCAAATATCAAAGAGAAATTAAAAATGCATGCGGTGGAAGAGTTTGGGTCTTAGGAGGTTAATATGTAGGATTTAAATAGAACCTGAGGCTAGTTATTCAGATAGAAGTCCATAGACTGCAGTTCATTTTGAGTCCACTTAATACATACAACATCGTAGTGAAGTAAATACTGATCTGCATAGCATACCAAATAAGTTTTAAATAACTTCACGCACAAATTCAGTTTGTTTTCACAAGATGCAAGTGGAGAGAATATTGCAGGCATTACTTAAAATGTTAATTTTGCTCTTTTCATGAGATCAGTTGACAGTTATAATAATATGACTCTATATAAAATATGGACATAGGTCTGAAAATAGAAGCCAATGCAGTTTAGGTGCCTTAAACATGCTTTTCATGGCCAGCAGGGGGCGACTCCTCTGATTACAAAAACAAGTTTGATTTTTCTGGAAGAAGAAATCTGGAAGGACACTTACTAGGCTCCAGTTATCTATGACCTCTGTAAGCGTTTTCCTAATTAGTTTGTCTTGATTGCTAGCTTCAAGTGTCTAAATACAGCACGATATTGACTATTGACAGTCAAATAAGAGAACAAAGCAGAGCATGATCTTCCTTGCGATTGACAACCAGATGAGCGTGCGGTGTTTCTAAGTGAGATCCACCCCCAGTGACCTCTAAACTGTTAGCTCAAGGCTTAACAATACTTCACAAACCAATGGGTGACATCATGCATGCCTACATCCATCTTTTATATACAGTTTTCTAGCCTTATCCTTTAAACTTGGTTCTGAAGTTTTCTGGATTCAGTATTCTCAGGTGAAAACATTTTTCTGTCCATTTACGTTTTCCTGTGACAAAACAAACCAAACCAGGTGAAGTATTTGGTAATATCATCATTAAAAATCACTTGAGTCCCATGAGCCAGCCAGGTCAGTTTGTCTGATGACACGCTGAATAAAGATGTAATACTGAAGAGAACTGCTCTGTTAAGGAAAGAAAACAGCAGATAATTGGGCACATGTCCACATGTGCTTATCTGTCCCTGTCCACAGGATGAGCATCATCACCGTCGTCAGTACAGAGTCCATGTTAAAGGCCTCATCGGAGATCATCGGACATTCATTGGGTCGTACCATCTGATTGAGAAAGCGAGTGGGGAGCTGTGGGAGCAGAGCACAACAAGGTGGACGGCTGAAAGCACTGGAGTGCAAAAAGAAATGGCTTTTGAGCACCAAGGCTGATGCATTTCCATCCTCTAGTCCGTCATTCAATGTACCGCCTTGCTCGGTTTTAAAACTTGCTTTTCGCTGTGAGAAAAGGGCAAGAAAAGAGGCCATTTGGGGGGAGCTGAAGCTAAACGGAACATCAGCTGTGATGCAGTGCTAACATCAGGCAACACCAGTGAGGACGTCTGAAATCCCAACATGAATTATATAGTATGTATATCTGAATATGTATAATATATATATATTCATGTACAAAATATAGAATCTTAATATATCTCATAGGGTTTGTGTTTCGAAGTTAAAATAGAAAATGTTAAAGATTAGAAAAAGCTCTTTACTGACATCCTCTTTGTTTTATGTGTTTGTGAATATATATATATATATATATATATATTATGCTGTTGATACTACTGAGGTTGTGATATTGCACATCTGGCGGGAAGCTTTCTGTAAACACTGTGCAGCGTTTTCTTTCTGTTATAAAAGGAAATTCATATAATCTCAGAAAACCCGGTTACCTGTAGGACACACTCTTCAGCAATAAAGACCATCTCCTCCATGAATCTGTTAGTTACCGATGTGATTAGATAATGACACAAGGACGGATAGTGCTGCAGTGCTGGCTTAGTGTCCATACTTGAGAGATTCATACCTGCATCACAACATGGACCAAAGGTATTACAAACCATACGTGAAATTCTGTACATACACATAAAACTGTCTGTGTTTTACATGTACATACTGTATATACTTCAGCAGGAGCAAGGCAGAGCGAAAGAGAAGAGGTAATGCAGCTTATGTCCTCCCGCAGGTGTGTCCAAAAACCCATCGGAAAATTACGGCTGATTGAAGCAAATCAAATTTCTTATTGACCATTTTTCCTTCAGGACCCAGACTCGCACAGCTGACCAATAATCTGTCTTTATGCTCTGACTGGACATCTTTGGTCTCATCGGCTGACTCGTAGCGAGGCTTCTCCGACTCATCGGCTCCCCCACAGGCTGGGCGTTGGGATGAACATTTTCCTCATCCTTTATGGCCTCAGGTTTGAGATGGGTTCAGTGCTGTGAGAAAAGTTCAATCTCAGTCCACCCTAAGCCTGCTTTGTATGTCGTAAGGCGTTTAACCCCCTATGTGTCTGTCACTTAGTGTGGGTTAACTGCTGGAAGGTCCACTGGTGAGGAAGTAGGTCATCATCTCTCCTTTGCCCTTGACTGTGACCACTCCTCTGTATTCCAGTGTGTAGTTATAAGAGCTCAGTACCTGGTGCAGTTCTGGGGTCACCTGAAGGCAGATGGAGAATGGAATATTTAATTCCCTGGTCAGCATTTTTGAGATTTATCATTATTTTGCTAATAACTCCCAGTGACCAATGATTTGACAGCTTGAAAGTCAAACATGCTGTGTCATTGATTAAGATGGCGTTTAATGGAACCATAATTTCTAGAAAGAATAACTTTCAGTCAAGTTGAACCCAGTTTAATTTGACTACAGTGCTGTCTTAAACTCTTTATATTTTTGCTACGAAAATTGGAAATAATCAATAATGTTGAGATCAGGAATCTGGGGAGACCAATCCATGTCTTAATATCAAACGTGCCCAAGGATAATATTTTACCTTGATTCTTAGCTGTTTTTTAATGCTTAAACAATTCATAGCTCAGTGTTATGTACTCAACAGAGAAAACTTTCTCTGGTCAGATATAAGGACTCATCTGAAAATGAGTGAAAAATTAGCCAATGTCCAACGATAAATGTTGAAAGACCTTCAGAAAGCTTGGAAAATTACGAAACATGCAAGAAAGTCTGGCTCCTTGGGAGTGCAAGAGCAGCTGGCCCTCCGCCGATTACCAAGACTACTTGGAGTACATCTAGAAGATGCGAAATGTAGCTACCGTCACTGAAACTGATGATCACCATGGCAGCAGTGATACCTGAAGCCTTGGAAACTGCGAAGCAAAGACTCACATCCTTGGCCAGCCACTTGAAGAGGTATACCAGAGAGCTAGAAGGCAGGAGAATAAACCAGTTGTACTCCACTGAACCATTCAAGGGAGAAGGACACAACCCATAACGGCAATGCTCAGTGGCTAGTGGCTCTAAGAGCAGACCACAGCATCCTTCCCGAACAGGATCCAGGATCCATGGCAGCGACAGACATCCAAGAAAAGGTCCAGTAAGAAGCACCAGGCTCTAACATGATTCATGCCTACTGGCTGAAGAAGGTGACTGCACTGATGAAGCAGTCCTAGATGACACAACAAACATCCATGAACATCAGGAAGATGGCCACAACTGACCGCATGCTTAGTGAATACCTCAGGAAGCAGAAATATGAGAAAGAAGAGGAGCAAGAAGAAAAAACATCATGGAAGGACAACCCCCTGCATGGTATGTACCATCGGCAGATAGAGGAAGTGGCTTATATCAAGCAATCCTACCAGTGGCCGGACAAAGCTGGACTATCTTTCATTCTGGAGGCTCTGATCATGGTAGCATAGGAACAAACTCTGATCCATAGAGGCTGGAGTCTACCACACCAGGCAAGACCCCAGGTGCAGGCTGTGTAATAATGCCCCTGAGAAAATCCAGCACATAGCAGCAGGTTGCAAGGTGCTAGCAGGCAGGGCATACATGGAACGCCATAACCAAGTGATCGACAAAGTATACAGGAACATCTGTATGGACTGGAAGTCCCAGGGTCAAAATGGGAGACGCCCTCTAGGGTGGTCGAGAATGACCGAGCTAAGATCCTGTGGGACTTCCAGATACTGGTGATGGATAACCAACCGGACATAGTAGTGGTGGACAAGCAGACAAAGGCGGCTGTAGTGATAGATGTAGCTATACAGAATGACAGCAATATCATGAAGAAGGAACACAAGAAGCTGGAGAAGGGCTCAAGAAGATGTGGAGGGTGAGGGTAACAGTGGTCCCAGTGGTAATCGGAGCACTTGGTGCAGTGACTCCCAAGTTAGGCGTCCAGCAGATCCCAGGAACAACATCAGAGATCTCTGTCCAGAAAAGCGCAGCAAAGATACTGTGCTGGACCCTCTAGCTCCCAGGCCTCTGGTAGAGGACTCGCGCTTGAAGGATAAAGTCCGCCCACAGGGGCGAGAGGG